TATCCAGTCTATAAAGAATAATGTCGCAAATAATTGGACAATACTAAATGTTATATTTCAAAAATTATCATTAATTATTTCATTAATTTTAATATGCCAATAATGCTTGGCTAGCCCAAGACATTAACACAAAACTTGAAGCTGAATCATCAATGAAACTTGCTCAAGCTTTTGTTAAGATTGTCTCTGTGCGCCCTCTAGTGGCAGTTTAAACAAATTCTGATTTTGGTGTAATGATATAAAAATATAAAACTCAGATAAAGACAGGGAGAAGGGGTAGTCCCATTTACTTTTCACTTTTCAAAAATTGAGTAAGTTAACAAATCAAAATTAACTTGGTAAGCGTAACAATATAGTGCAAAGTATTGCTCATGCAGACCGTACAGAAAACTGGACAGTTGATCATGTGACTGCTATTGACATAGAATTTACACCTTTATCACTGTATATAGCTCAGCACATGGCAATCAACTAGTAAAGACAGCATTGATAAACAAAATAAAAAATATTCAAATGGGGGCTCTCCAGTTCTGTAAATGCTCACCATAATTCCCATTCCTGGCACATCGAGAATACAAAATACATCATCGTCGTCGAAATCATCATCTGATTCAGCCTTTGCCGATTGCTGACTTCTTGATTGCTTTGTAGTTTTACTTTCATCCGGGAAGAGAAACATTTCTGTAGGTGGCTTTTCATCTTTATCAGATGATATGTTGATGACTGTGGGTGGGGAGCCTGAAATATACAAACACTGATGAGTTACGGACATGAAAAGTGAAATTGTTTTAGACTGGAGGAGATTTTATACCAAAACTCCTTAGCCGAGTAGAAATGTCATACAATACTTTCTAAACTGGTGTAACTTCATACCAAACTCCCTAGACTGATGACAATTTTATACTACACTCCCTAGTTTGGTAGAAATGTCATTCTGAAGTTCCTTGACTAATGAAAATGACATACGGTATTTAACTGCCTAGACAGGTAAAAACTCCATTGACTGTGTAAATAAAACTATCCGATCTTTTATTTTGCTACTGATATCTCATTATCTTTTGAATCTAGATATTGAAATTGTACTGAAGTGTACCAAATTGTACTGAAGTGTATGTTTTAGAAAACTCTTCAATGTTACAATATTGTTACAGTAATTTTATTGTGCCAACATGTTTACCTTTATTTGAACCACTGCTCTCAGACGTGGTAGAGGAATACTCCTTCATAGCCTCTTCCATTAAATTCTGCATCTGTTCAAAATGTCCCTGAGCAATTGGACTGGTTGACACAGCTGGAGACTGTGGCTGGGTAGCCTGCAATAAGAAACAGTTTAACAACAAACCTGTGCTGATTATAGCCATTCACAGTGATGGAACAAGAACAGTAGAATGGTTTACATAAATCAGGCAGAGATAGGTTTACATGTACACTAGAAGGTTGGATTTAGCATGCCTAATGTACACAGATTGTATTAGACTATCCCAACATCAGTGGAAGTTAGGTGCGATGGAACACTTTTTTTTGTCCCTCATGTAGTATTCCAATCGCTCCCATCATCGCATTCTCAGAATAAATAATACAATAGCTACAAGAGAACAGTGGCGTCACAGATGGGAAGAATGGAAAACTATTTCATGGTCAAAAACAAATGTGTGTTCTCTAACTTTGAATGAGATGTCCATGGACATTTGCATCTAAGGTCCCACCCATATACAATATCATAGTGATTCACAAAATCTGACATTTTATTTTTTAATGGATATTTTACTAACTACCGGTATATGCAGTTAAATAAAAGAACTCCAGTTAGCAAATACTGAGGATAATGTTAAACCAAATCATTGTATTACTAACCTTTGTGGATGTACTACTGCTACTTGGTATGCTTTCCTCTGACTGTTGGGCTGGCACAGGAGATGGTGAAGGAGGATTCAAATCTCCATCATTAGCAAAATAGATGATAAGCTTCCTGAGTGCATCACAGGAGTCTACACAAGTCCTAATATTTAGCAGGTTGTTAGTTGCCTGCAAGTCAATCCGAGGGTATTTCTAGCAGAATAAGAACACACAATACTCAGATGAATAAATAAAACATAGTACAACAAGTTTCTATTTTTATTTATGAGTTATTCACAAGCCATAAGTAGAAAGAATGGTAGTGAATTAGCAAAACAACCCAGCATTAACACATGTACAGAGACAGCAGTGCCGTTTATGTTATATGACTTTTGTACATAATTTGAAAGTAACTCTGTAACCATGTGTTTGATATGTAATCCATAAATCCCTGGAATAATTGTTATCATGATATCTTTCATTATTTGTATCCTTGATGTTTTCTACTTGCTGTATGAGATACATATATGATGTCAGATGTGTGGTGCCTGCACATGTCTCTACATTAGCGTAGTACAGTTAGATGTTGACCACACATCATTTATCAACGTGAATACAGAAGCATTGGGCCATCACATTTATGCAAGTTCGTTAAATTTACATATAACATAACTGATGTGTTGCAATATTGTATATACCTAAGTATGTGTGTCTTACATATATCATGGTGATTTTACTATTATAATTATCGTAGCAAAGTTCCAGAGTTGTGTATGTAGCTGACTGTTTTCTCTGTTCGTTAATGGTCTAATTATTCAGTATACAGTAATCATCCCATTTCACTGTTGAGATTAAATTAATTTACCATGTACTGTATAATACTTTATTTTCGATTGGAATTTATTTTTGCCATTTTCGCTAAAGGGATGATTCCGTGAAAATAAAATCCAGCGAATATACTTTTTTTCATATATTTCACATTAAACTCATCAAAAATTTCATACAAGACACCCAAAAAGCCTTTTCAGCGAAAATAAAGTGTTCCACAGTAATCTATTTATTTAATAATTTTAATAAGTTATTTTGGTTGATTTATTTGGGTTTTAAAAGAACTCTCATGCTTCTTGTGTCAGTAAGTGAGATAGCTTTCATACTACATTGTTTATAATAGTTATGGGGGTAGTCCTGTATTGCAAGAATATATACATGTACATTTTATGTGTGATTCCTTGTTTTAATGAGAACCGTAATTTAATTCTGAAAGCTTTGCAGAGTTTGCAAAGAAACAAACAGAATTAGAAAATTGTCTTAAACTGAACTGAATTCCTGAAAAGTTCCTGGAAAATCAAATGCAACTTACAGGATCCTTGCCATCACTCATCCGTAGAGACAACTGGAAAAATCCCATGTCCATTACGCATACATAATCTGAAAACAGAGTAGAAACAAAATCAATACTCAGATGATAACTGATGTGAACACCATGGTGAAAGTCAGTAACAATGTTAGTGGGACACATTAACACACATTTGCAGTCCACTGTACATTCATGTTTTACTTACTTTTTTTCAGATCAAGCATCTGAGCATCTCGTTTATCTGACACAAATAGAGCTGCATCTTCTACTAGGAATCTGAAAATAAAAATAAAAACTTTCAGATTTCATTGAAGACATCAAGCTACATTAGAATGTGATTGGACAATATTTCAAATTAAACATTGATCAAAAAAACATCAAAATACACATTGGTAAACATGCATTCTTAAATTGAAATTGTATTGTGAAACACTAATACAATGACCAAGAGGATATCAGGACAAGGCAAATAGATGGTTGCAGATCACCTACACATATCAAAATATCCTCTCATAGATAGGCATTTAAATTAGTTCACCAACCTTAGTAATGAAACTGGGGCATCATAAACAATATTACTGGATATACTGAACGTTTCTGCTGTAATGACACTTCTAATTGGTAGGTATAGTGGCCTGGCAACAGAACAAATAGAATATTTAATACATGATGTGTTTTCGGCATGATAAAATGCAGGAGCTGCACAACAAATTCAAGAGACATGTTGGAAACAGATTTCTGTGTTTAACATATTTGGGGATACCGTATGATATTCTTTATCTTACATTACGTCACTATAGTTTATAGCCTATCACAATAATGTAACTTGAGATTACCCGCCAGAATGTAAACTTGTCACATGTGTGAGTCAAGGCTAACATGAGGCAGTAGTGTTTAGACCACGGAATAAAGTAGTCGTGCTTTTCAACTCGAAGTAACTGACTTGTTATCTGATTCTGTAAAGATCCCATACTCCACAAGACATTTGAGACCTTATTTACATTATTGACATTCCCTAGTAATGCATGGATATCTCTGTCTCATGAATGTACTTAAATAATATGAGTTGATCACCTGTAGTCAATAGCAGCTCCAGAGATGTGTATGTAACTCGGTTAGAATCGTTGGAAGTTCATATCCTGGTACAGGTTCATCAAGCACGTCAAAGAACTCCATTAACTGAAACACATTGAGATTTAAATAAAACAAATTATTTTGAATATTCATGTTATGTAAATTGCTTCACTGTAATTTATGTTTATGGAGAATATCGATAGCGTCAACAAATATAATTGCAATAAAAACAACAAATGAATTACTGACTGATCCAGCTCTGTTCTGACAACACTACTCTGTGTTGCAATGTTGCGCCTCGAATACCAATGGCAACTTGGATTTCCTGAGAAATATTTGATAATGAGGTAATGTGAGAAGTTACAATGGTGTCACATTGTTGTTATCAAATGGATGTAAATAAAGTACTAGTACCATGTTGTTTACACAAGTCTCTCACAAATATATCACTAATACATTGTATTTTATATTGTATAAACTAAAAGCAGCATCTGTGTGATTTAATATAATACAAAACTGGTGTAAATGTCATACTAAACTCCTTTAGATTGGTGGAAATATAATACCAAACTCTCGAGACAGGTGAACATTTCATACAAAGCTACATAGGTGGAAATATAACATCAATCTTTATAGACTGTGCAACAACCATTCTTTATTTTATAGCCATTGATATTTTGTCATGATTTAACCTGTATATTAGACTTGTGCTGAAGAGTGGTGACCTAGTGCCAAGCACCCCTAACAGTGCATTGTTTAATATCTCAACATTCTGAAGGCTTTTGATACCTAAGCGGAATTTTGATGTGTACATTGACAGACACACAGACACTGGTGCAACATAAGCCCCTCTTTTGGGCACTGTTGGAGTTAAGAAGCCATAAAAGTGGAATTTTGATGTGTACATTGACAGACACACAGACACTGGTGCAACATAAGCCCCTCTTTTGGGCACTGTTGGAGTTAAGAAGCCATAAAAGTGGAATTTTGATGTGTACCATGACAGACACACAGACACTGGTGCAACATAAGCCCCTGTTTTGAGCACTGTTGGAGTTAAGAAGCCATAATTGTGCAAGAAAAATTAACTCCATACTGGGTAAATACAACTAGATTCATTTTTTTAAAGGGACTTGTATGTTAAGAATAACAATATCATTGCAAATAATGCAAACTCACTTTAACTTTCCGTTTTGTGTCTAGGTTGATTTTAATGGCAACAGACAACATGTTGAGGCTATCATTGCTACTCCCAGAGCCGACATTACTTCCTAATTTGGTATAGGCACCAGCTTCTGATTTGTAAATACATGGATTCAAGTGAGGTGGAGTACTGCGAGAACTAACACACTCAACAGGACTCATCTTTTTTGGTGTCACACAACCTGTCATATGAAATAAAATTATTTAAATTAATAAACAAATGACTAGATGTACAATGAAGTAAGCATATCACTGCATCACCTAATTTTGGAATTGCTTGGGTCAGTCGATGGTATTTGTTAGTAGTTTAGTTTTTAATAGTTTATTGATGGGTGTGAGATGGGTAGTACTGTCAAGGTATTAGACAGTGAATAGAGGAAATGGTTAGTAAATGGGTGCATGAGAAAGTAAATGGTTGCCTTAGGGGTACATGTTGATTGTAAATGAGTGATTAATTGGATGCATACATGTAGAAGTTAGGGTATTTCTGAATAGATCGGTGAGTAGATAGACTGATGCAAAGATTCAGGTTGTCGTTGATGGCATGTTGACATATAAATCTATTAAAACACCACCATGACAAGGTATCACTGATTATACAAGTAGCTCTACCAGCCATTACCGTTTGTCTACCAGTATATATGTATGTGGCAGACTACATACAATCATGTGTGTATTGAAAGCAGTTTACTTACCACTATGATACATAGTGACTCTGTTAGCCTGAAGTGACAGGTAACTCAGATCAGGATTACCCTGATACTTAGCAACAAGAAACAGATTAGTATCTTCAAAATCCAACACGGCTTCACCATACTTTTCACCGTCACCGCTCTCTTCCTGCAGTACAGAAGACATTATGTTGTTACATACAGGTTGCTGCGTTTACATGAATCCTGATTGTGAATAGCAAGACAATTTTTAAACAATAAAGTAGAATTGAAAGAACTTCATTGTAAATCAAGGGGTGGGAAGTATACAGTCATATTTCTGAACATCAACAATAGCATGAAAGTTTTACCAAAGACTGAATAAACTTTGTCCAGATGAGGTCGAAAAGGACGATGTCACTTACCTTAGCACCTAGACATAGATCCAGTCGTCCGTGTCCAATATTCAAGCTAACAGCCATGTAACTCTGTGAGTGTGCAAAGTTTGCAGGGTCTGATTTCTTCTTTTTCTTCTTTTTAGATTCAAAAAGAATTGAATCAAACTGGTTGCTGTCTTCTTCAGAATCAGAGTCTACAACATGCAAAAGTTTTGATAGTATACATGTAGTAGTAACATGTCACCAACCCACAATTCATAATGGAAACATGCAGATATCAAACACATTATGAAGTATATGAAAATGGACATTAACATCTACATAACATTGGCCTCAAAATAACACATACAACAATTTACAACATTTTACACATTCTGAAAACATATTGATATACTAGTAATCAGAAGATCACTTAACACATTGCCGGCTTAAAGCCTCAATGTATTGTCAAAATGAATGGGAAAAAAAAAGACACAAGCAAAGAACGTGTTAATATAGTAATAATTAGTTAAAAGTTACCATTAGCGTGTAGGGATTTACACATAGAAAATCTTTCATTGAATAATGACTGAGTAGCAAAGTCAAATCCACGACATGAAGCAAATACACCATGACCTTCAGCAACAACAGCGGGCGATGGTGCACCTGGTTCCCATAGCAACATATCGTTGAGTAATCTGAAACGTACATAATGGAGGGGTCAATGTTTTTGTAATTTTTGAAATGAAATAATCCACTCATGAACACATGTGTAAAATTTGAATGTACTTGTCCAACGTATGGCAAGCTTTATTATTTAAGAATGATGAATGATCCTAAAACTTGTCAGTGGACAGAGCAGAGAACAACAGACTGGATACTTTACCTGTTATAAAGTAATTCAAAGAACTGTTTTGATGGCAAGAATCCACTGACATTGGGTAAATTAAATTCTAATTGCATCCTCGAATGGTTGGTAGCTTTCTCAGCAAAATCAGCCATTTCAGTTTGATCACCAGGTATGACCATCTGTGGAAGAAATTCACATCATTGGAAAAAGGATTCCACAAACTCATACTTGAACATTCATTACAGAAATTAATTTATCTTTGGAATGTGCATAAAAATGGTGTCCACAATATCATTCTGAAATGATATTTATCAAAAGGACTTTTGCTCCACCCTTCCTCCCCCAATATAAACGTCTTACCTCCTCACTATCATACATGACTTTCTTGGAAGAGAATGGAGATGGTTCCTGTTTTCCAAACTGCATGGTATCCTCCAATGAGCTGAATTGATTGCTGTCTTCAGAGTCAATCTCCTCCTCTTCTAAGACTGGTCCACTTTCAAAGGGCAGAACTTTAACTACAATTCTGTAAAACCACAAAGAAAGCAGGTACCTAACTTGTATCGAAATACATGAGCATTTATCGTTCATTGAGAGGGATCCCCTTAATCTATCACTGATCAACTTCCTTCGAAAGTGACATCAAAACCTCATGTGCATGTCATTCTACTACCTGCTTCACACTACTTGGCTAAAAATACAGTTGTGTGTATTCCTGATCACTTTTGTCAATCATATGATAATTCCACTTCTGATATTGTTATTTTCATTATCAGAACGAATTCCAAAAGCAATATTGACATATAATCAACACACTTGTAGATTTGAACAAAATAATGAGATTCCATAACATTTCAAAACATTCTAAAGTAAAATTCCAAATGAAATTCGCATTAAAGATTATATACAGTTGATTATAGGCATCCTGCGATCTGATTGGTGGAATTGGTTCAGCCAATCGCTGTACACACTGAGTGATTTGACTATGCAAGTTTAAAATATATATCATGCTTACCGTGGCCAATTAAATCCATTTTGTATTCCTTCTTGGCCAGGAACTTCATTGTCATTTTGATCAGGGCCAATTCTGATGAAAGACACTGGCGACTTGTCAGGATCTTCTTGTAACATACCTGACAAGAGAAAGATGATTGTTATAAAACTTGACACACAGGATTCTCAGAAAACTTTTAAATTTTGCACTGCTGAGCATATGTGCAATGCATTGTGGGAGATAACCATCTATTTTATATAATGTAAAACTATTATCACACTGAAATCTCAATCTGAAGTCCCATCCTTCTCCTCCTCAAATATAAGATTCCTTTGGATTTAAATGACCCACCATGCATTTCTTTGAATGTCAATTCATATTTTGAACACTGATCACTGCCTCCTAGTTTGGTGTAAAACCCAACTTCCATAACTTCAAGAAAAAGAATTTCTTTCCTTAAAGACCTCACCCACCATGGACGTCTCTCATGGTCATTTCGTAGGTCAGGAATTGGAAATCTGTAATATAAGATGATATCATTAGTGTTTATATGGAAATCATGTCCCTGAAAATTGCCAAAAATTGTAATGTTGACTTTTTCTCAGTTGTTTATCCTCACAAAATACTACAGAAATGTGCAGTATAGAGTCCAATTACCCAACCTCAATTTAAGCACTTTTTTTTTAATATTTGTGACAATGGCAATTCTGGATATTGATTTTCACTATTGTCTTCCTGTCTTTTTTATGAAACGTAAGTGATAATGGTGCATATAGTGCATTTTGTCACAGAAACGATTTCATTTTATATTCCATTTTTTTAGAACTATGAAACAAGAATATGTGGCCATTTCCTAATTTCTAGACAATTCATTCCCTGGTTTTTTTTTGAGCTGATTTATTTGCTTTCTGCATATCTAGAAACTCCTTTACAATCACTTTACTTTTAATCTTGTTGTGATTTCTCATGACAATACAAACAGTCAGTTTCTACACCAAATAATGTTCACACATTGAAAGCCTGCACTTTCCTTCAGATAATGGGGACAAAAATAGCCAAATTGAAAATTGACTAAAATTTTGAAATATTGAAGAATATAGGAAAAATGTGCAGAAAAAATTGGGCGAGAAATTCTGGTGGTGAATAGGTTAATAACATCCATGTTGAATCCATAGAAAAAAGAGCTTACTGACTCACCTGACTGATATCACTGAAAATGGACAGGTGACATGTATATCTATTCTCTGATCACTAAGACTGGGTGTGTCATCAATGGCTTGACTGAAGTATCCTTGTCTGGACTAAAGATACAAAGAAAAATGAAAATGAAATCCGATCAATTTCAAAAGTGCAACTGATTATCTCAAGATTCCTTACTTGATATAATAGTATTATTATTATTATTATTAATATTATTATTATATTATTATTAATTTTGTTTAATGAAATCTTCTACATCAATGGACAAGTATGAGTCAATACATTGTAATTAGATAACGTGAGCGAGACAACTTTACCATAGGTATGTTTTGATGGTGGAATGATTTGTAATTCCGATGGCCATCAGTATCAGGTAAGGGTACAGGATGTAAAAGAGAATTCAATCTGTCTACCACTGTTACATCCAAGTCAAGCCTGATTCGACCAAACTGCATCACGATGTCAGTTCTTGGTCTGTGTAGACTACCCCGAGAGTTGGGTCCCTGCAAGGGAAAGAAAACATCACATTTACTGCTGGACTTAGATATACAAGGTGATGTTTTTAAATTGCTACGTGATCTGATCAACTAACCTGTCCACTGTTTCTAGTCAAGTTTTTCACTTTGATTTTAAAACATGGCACACTGGATAGACTTGTGTACATAGAACGCCTGCTTAGTTCTTCTTCTGTAAATGTCAATATCTATTGAAGAATTCAAACAGGAAATAGATTTAGGTTTTAAAAGTCTACATAATAGATCTTATAGATTAATATTGAAAAACTGTTAAAGATAGTCAGAAAAATAACATATTAAAGATAGTTGTATGAAGCGGAAATAGGATTTGTTGGCTTAGTTGTATGGTGAACACAATGTTTTCAAGACCAGTGGTTGACCACACTGATGATGGATGGCCAAGACCACAAGAGAGCCCCATAGGTTCAGTTTAATTCAATTAAGATTTTCTAATGAATTGCAAATGGGAGATCCTGCAATTTTGAACTTGACATACAGTATATTTGTTGGAAAAAAATGAAGCAAAAGCTGTTCAAATGAGAGCAACAATGCGACGGACGAAAACAATGCCGAGGGAAATTTGTTCACGACAATACCTTGCACCATCATCATCATTCAGGGCAAGCTAAAAATGACACTTAAGGTGGAAGCCTACTCATAATTTAAAAACCCAGAATTTATTCATTTTTGCAATAAATTGTACTCCAAGGCAATATAAGGATATTGATCTAAAAAAAGTTGGGGGTCACCAGCTTTTTTTCGAGAAATTAATGGTTGTATTTCAGTGGAAAGTCGCCATTTTGACACTATTATAACACTTTTACCACAGGTTCCTATGGCAGAGATATTATGCAATATCTCAAAATCTAGCCTGGTGACATAGGCTGAAAAAATCATATATTGTTAATGATGGAGTACCTTTTGTTGTTATGTATTATTAAAAAAATCTGGGTTTTAAAAAGTGTCAAAAAATCCATTTTTTCTTTAACATTATGTTCTATGGAATTGTTCTAAAAATAGCAATTTTTAAGAAATATTGGGACACGTTTCTCAAAAAGCATAACTGTAACGCACAAAATAATGCTATTTCATTGTACCATGGGACATTAGCTTCATGATTGTACATAATAAACTAATGAACATTGTCATGCGATTTATGACCAATTTAACTAAACATTTTTTGATGAAAATTCCTGATATTCCTGACAAGGAACAGAATCCACCAGTCCTATCAGTGTGTATTATTGTAGTGTACACACATGACAGTATACTTACTTCTGCATAGCTGGGTGATATATTCTCTGTATTTGGAGTACCAGTACTGGAAACAGGTGTGCTTCTTTCGTATAGCGCTTCTACAACTTCCAACATTCCCACAGAGAAATCAGCACTGATGGCGTTAGCAGAATGGGATGTTTTTCTATCGCACTCCAGTGTAACTGGCGCAAAAATTAACCTGCAATATGTGCAAAATGTTATGAATGTTTTTCTTTTCCTTATTTGGAAAAGGGTACATCACATTTACATTGGACATTTGAACACTTTGCTCTGTTTATATCAGACACAATGAGTATTATACAAATGTATGCATAAACACATTTTTTTCAATAGAATAGTCTCACATTTAGTCAAACTGTTCTATTTGAAAAAAATGTCTCAGCTATTGCTTGTGCAAATTTTCCAATCAAAAATACCCATAATTCCTTGAGATTAAAATTGTTGGCACATACCGGTACTATAAAATTGAAAGTTCTTGCACAGTTTGAGTAATTATTTATTCATCTAACAATTACCACTTTAATTCACAAAGACAAATTGTCATTATTATCATGAGTCGGGAAATCCACATAATGGTCCCAAGCAACGTATATAAAGCATGTAAGATATATTGTGTGTTTACAAGAGTTATGATTTATGTAATATCCATTCTTTACACAATTTAGCTAGCACTGTGAGGTGACTGTGACGCCTTAGGACATGACCATCACAGAGATTAAATCATCAAATCGCTAACCATAGTAGCAGTAACAATTTATACACTGTAATTGTGTACAGCGCAAAGACATTTTTACTCATCAACTAAAAAGCAATAGAAACAAAAAACACTCACTGTAAATGATCATGTTGACAAGCTTTGGCAAGTCTCTCTCGTAACTCATCGTAATCTTTTCCTCCCACGACAGAAGCACCGAAACCAATTTCATGGAAGTAGCTCGTGGACAGCGTCATCATGGAAACAGATTGCTGATTGTTGCTGGTTGACGGTAATGGATTCTCGTGCAGTATCACCATGGCGATGCTGCTGAATTTCAATTTGTAGCGTATCATCTCTGCTTCAGGATCATCGAGGAGTTCTGAGAGAGCTGTCAGATGAAAATTACATCAAAGTCAATGATTCTAAAAAAAACAAGTAAATTCTTGTGCAATTCAAGTATCCTGAGAAATGCATTCCGTTCTTATACATCTAGGAGCAGAACACAATATGTAAATAGTATAAACAGTTTTTTTGTACGCTATAATTTTTCCAAACCAAAATTTTGATGAAGGATTTCACACATTTTTTAGTAATTTTTCTTTAACTTTTTTTGTGTGCAATTTTGGCCCAAATGGACACAAATTCCCCAAATGTGGCAAGTGACAAAAGCTGTGGTTTTCAAAGGGTACTAAAGAACAATAAAAGAAAGATAATTGAATTACCATTAGCCGAAAATTTACATTAGCGATAGTATTGTTAATTAAGGATGCGTAAAATCTCCACAGATCAAACTAAATGTGGTCTCATTTGTGTTGAGGTAATAAATAATACAACAGAGTTATTTAGTAGTATCAGTGACATCAGAGATGACAGAACCCTTGGTATCTTTATTACAAACACTGGTTGAATATCTACATCTGCAATAAGTGTTTTAGGTATGGTACTTATACATTTTTAATTAGGACACATGAACACATATATGGTTATTAAATATGTTGATCAGATCGTATGCCCAATGTCTTCAATAAAGCACTGTTTGAATGTTTATATCTGAAATAGTGTTTCGGATATGATATTTATGCATTTTCCATGAGGTGACATACATTTATCAAGTTATAGTGTTCAATAACTTTAATACACTGTGTGAATCTCTTATCTGCATTTAGCTCCTGACATTACACCATACAGATGTACAGGCAGATACTGGCACCATGATAACCCCAGCCAGCACTATGGTATATGCCAGAGGAAAATGAATCTGTGCAGTTAACTTACTTTTTCTGGGTCTATGAGATCGCCTTGCAGCCCCTTTAGGTATGGATGATGCAAATGGTGATCCAGTGGACGTGATATAAGTGATACCATAGCCTTGTCTGGCAATGCTACTGTTACCTGTGATTAATTATACAAATGGTTAAAATATTCCAATGTTTTGATCTCTCAAAAGATCAATTAATATTGTAGTTTTTCATGTATGTGCCTAGCTAATTATATTACTATATAATAATTATATAAATGTATGTTTAAATCATAGATACATTACAATGGCTCAAGTAGCAACTCATATTTTTCAGCAACAATACTAGACAAGCCATGCATGGCACAGTCCCCGTTAGTTAATTTAAAAGTTTTGTTTATAGTAATATAGTTGGGACATAAACATGTCAGAAGTATGGATCCAGATAATGATGCTTGATTATCATGATTTTTTAACATTAAAATGATTGACATCTTGTATCTGATCCTCAAACGAGCACTTGTCCATATTGGGAAATATTGCTTTGGAACAGCATTAAATAAAAAAAAAATGGCCACCAGTCGGCCATTTTGAATACGTCTATATATCTATAACATGATGTACAACGAATATATAAAATTCGCACATAATCAGTCAAAGCATATCAGAGATATGGCTCTAGAAGCGCATTCATTTAAACAAAATGGCCGTCAGTCAGTGCCTATGGAACAAAATCTATCTATAAACGTCAAGATCCAGTTCTGGAATGCCAGAAATGCTTTATTTTTTAGGACTAAAATGGCTGTCATTTGGCCATTTTGAATCAGATAGTCAACCAAATATATCTATGTCATGATTATGTAATTCATTAATCCAAACCAACAAACAATATTTGCTATACTAGAAGTATATAGAGAATTGTGCACAAACCAATAATTTAATTTATTGTAAACTGGATCATTAAAATATATCATTAAAATTCAATATGTACTTTAACACAACAGCTCCTACAACTATACAGTAATTGCATTAGTTTTGAGACATAGACTTCACTGACATAGCAAGTGATAATCTAAGGTATATTTATACATTATTGAAGCAATAATGGCTGCTTAAAAAAAAGAAAATTAATGATCAATTTCAGTAAAAAAGAGTAGCAAAAATTTACAATTTTGTAAAAAAACAAAAAAAACAATAAACAACTCCTATATCAATTACACAAAATAGAGCATCTCTATGGTAAACTTACAATTGCCTAAAATAAAAATGATTATTGCTCAAAGCATAATCAATCAATGTATAATTATGTCAAGCACTCCCCTGTTACAATTGTACTCAGAATTTGACCCTACGCTATTACATGGTTCAAACCATTAAATAGTAATTTGATTATACAATGAATGAATACTTTACTTTCAGAATCTTTAAGTTATGAGACCTTGTTTCATACACGAAATAAAAAGATTCATTTTTTAAATTTGCAATCACTAATATTTTTCTATCAACGAAAAGTGTTGTTTACTTTGGTTGACATTCTTGAAAAGGTCCTCACAATAATGCAGACATCAAATCAGACCATAAAACAACAATTTAATACAAGGTGACATAAGTAGAGAATTCTACGAGCAACTCAATTTACCTGTTTGATTTGTGTCAACCGTACTAACGCTGAAGTTGCTATTGACTGAAGATTCCATATCACTCTCACCAGACTGTTCAAATGGTGCTAACGATGCCAAACTAGCCGACATAGAGAAATAAATCTCTTCTTCATCATCTATAAAAATAATATTGAAGGAAATTCATAACTTGGTCAAGAACCTTAGATTAAAAATAAAGACAAAAATTTGCAATATATACATAAAGATGAAAATCTGAGCTAAATAAAAATGATGTCATGACACACTGTATGTCGTGTTTGTTGGTTTGCGTCACATGCATAAGATGTATACATCAATTTTCAACACATTTTATTATTATGACATGTCATTTTTAAATCAAAATTGTTATTAATCAGCCATCTTTCAAAACAAATTTGATTAGCAAACTTGTAGACAATATTTTTTTTGCATATGCATCATGCTTCAAACAATTCAGAAATTATTTATCATGCAGTTTTCGAAAAAAAATTGCCATCAGTCAGCCATCTTTAGTTAATACATATGCAAAAAAAAACAGTTCCCATGTGAAGAAGCCTAGATATGGAGATATGAAGAGGCTCTTAGACGTCAGAATAACACCACCAATCACACCTGAGAATATCAAATGGAATACAAAATATATACAGTCATATAGAGATTAACTATCACTTATTAATTTCTACCTAGAAACTGCGTATGTAAAGGTTCATCATCTTGGCAAGTCCAGGAGTGCCTCTTCCCTTCTTGTTTGAAAGCTCTATCTCTGTGTAACTGCTCCTGGAGCTCTGTTTCTATTCTGTCATAGTCTTCTGGTTGCATGGGTTTGTTTTTAGCTCGTCCGGGTACTGGTGCTACATCGGAAGACGCTGTGAATGGCAGGCAGACATCATAAATAATTAATCAAAAAAGCTATTTTAAAGTAGATGAAACTTCTACTGATAAATAAACAAATATAAAAATAGAATAGAAAATGATAGGAAGAATAATATATGCATATTATGTAATGGTAATTGTTTAAACTTACATGGTGAAGCAATTCCATGTGCAAGCTCTAATAACAAGTGTACTTGTCTTGGAGATAAGAAGAAATTGATAGAACCTAGAAAGGATTCTATTTCAACCTGTCAAGAAAAAATAACACAGATATATTGTAATAAATACATACCACATAAATTGTATAAATGTAGAATGTGATTTTTATTACTGGGTGATATAAAAGCTTTTGACTAGAATAATTGATTGTCCTCTGTGGATCTAAAAATTATCCCCCCAATAATATTATCCCAGTATGAAACTGAACTCTAGAGGTAGTGGGAATAACTTGCAAACTGTTACTAGATACTATTTGATGGACAAGGTACATAGAACATTAGAGAGTGATATCGAAAATAACTGAGAGCCAGAATTGCTTGGTCATATTTATTCGTTTATTTCTCACTACATACAAATGACAGACACTCAGATAAAGACACTATGAGAAGTTAACACTTACTTTTGGTCCTGTGACTCGATCGTTTTGTTTGATTTTTAGTTTGATTTCCTGTCTACCCGCAAAGCTAGCAATTTTGATTGGATCACCGTGCTCAATTTGCCGATGAATGGAATCATATGTAGGTTGCCTCGCTGTCATCTCTGAATGCTGTGGAGGCATCGGTGGGGAGAGGGGTGGAGAGAAATTCCCAGTATGCATCTGAAATGTAAGTAAAGAATACATATGTAAATGAGACTGATAAAAATACCTGGACAGAATAGAAATTGAAATTGAGACTATCACATGACAATTACTGCAACATTTTATGTAAATAAACCTAGCGTAACATTGTCTTATGAGAATCTAGATTACCGTAAATAACAAATGAATGGATGAAAACAAACTAACGATATGATGTATTTTCTTTGCATGGCAAAAGAGGGCATAAAAGTCCTGAAATTATATATCAAAACATTATGGACAACAATGAAGTCAACATAATTACATAAATTAACAAGTCATTGAAAATGACACAGTCCCCGTTAAGTTCTCTTTGTGCTCGTCATATTAAAGCGGAGGGGTTGTCGCGAGCGTGTCCTTGAAACTTGAGTTCCAAGTGACGTATACAACAGATTGTTTATTTACATCAAAACACGTGTTTCGTGTCATAGTAATATGGCCAAAATAAAAACTGGTACATAAATTGTGGAAATATAGTAGTAAGGCCAAAAAGTCAGATGGCTGTCAATTGGCCATCCTTGACCAGATTTTGAAACAAATTGTCATGGACATGCATCCTAACATGTATAAAGTACATGTATGTGCCAAATTTGAATGAAAACTGTCAGGGCACGTCCAAGATACCACATAAAAAAACAAAAACAAGATGCCTGCCAGTCGACCATCTTTGATCCAATTGCGAAATAAATCGTCATGGACATGTATCCTAACATGTATAATCTATGTACCAAGTTTGAATGACAACTGACAAAGCATGTCCAAAATACAACATTTTCAAAAAACAAGATGGCTGCCAGTCGGCCATTTTGAATCAAATCGCTAAACCACTGCATGTGCATATGTCCCATATGTGAAATATGACGTTGGATAGACTGACGCATGGACAGACAGACACACAGACGGTCGGAACAGACTCAGGAACTCACGGACGGTCGGGAACATGTATCCTAACATGTATGATCTATGTACTAAATTTGAATGAAAACTGACAAAGCATGTCCAAAATACAACATTTTCAAAAAACAAGATGGCTGCCAGTCGGCCATCTTTGATCCAATTGTGAAATAAATCATCATGGACATGTATCCTAACATGTATAATCTATGTACCAAGTTTGAATAAAAACTGACAAAGCATGTCCAAAATACAACATTTTCAAAAAACAAGATGGCTGCCAGTCGGCCATTTTGAATCGAATCGCTAAACCACTGCATGTGCATATGTCCCACATAAAGTACTAGGCACATGCAAAAAATGAACGGAATCGGTCCAAGAGATTCTGAGATACGTCTCCGCACGGAGACTGAATTATAAGTCGCCGTTTTCAGACTTCGTCCCGACGGGACTAATTAACATTCATGTTCCGCAAATAATACTGTATTAATCTCAATGTCCCTTATAGAATAATATAAAATGAATTGCATAGAAGTTCATAAAAAGTATTTAAGTAAAATTTGGCAAGAAAAATACTAACCAACATGTTTTTCCAATTAATACTACATGTACAATATTAATCTCAACAGCCATTATAAAACAATATAGCAAGAATTGTATGAAAGTTCCAGAATAATAGTTCAGTAATATATATGAGCAAAATAAAATAATAGCAAGATTTCAAAAACGTGACAAAACACTGAAAAAATGTTTTGTTTACTTCTATCAAATGTGCGTTTTTTGTTATAAATATATACTATTTCCTGTCCAAACTTCCTGTAGGATTTGTTTTCAAATTTTTCTCAGATTGGTTTTATCCAATCCAACCCCTATCGGTAGCCCCTGCAAGCACAAATTCAGCACCAATTTAAAAAAAAAAAACTCACTGCGATAGGAGAATCACTTTCACAGGAGGACTGTCGAGAAAGGGTCCGATAATTTTCAGGGAACTCATCACAAAAAAGAGAAACTCCCATCAGATGAAATTTCTTGAGAGCAAAAGCGACTGGTTCATATTTCTGAGGGACTTCCTGGTCTGAACCACTGCCTGGATCTGATGCGTTCTCATCAAAGTACTCAATTCTGAAAATTACAATATCATCAACATTAGATAGGATTAAGCAAAGATTACACGGTAAACTTCAGCCAGACACTGTATCTCTATATTCAGCTCAATTCTAACCTGAAGTAGGCATGTTTTCAGTTGTCAACCACACATGGAAAAACACACTAACCTTTTAATGCATACTTCTAATGAAACCCCAGTCTTAGACTCCTTTGGTACATGTTCAAGTTTAACAACAGACTCAACAAAAGTCATCTTAACTCTCGACAACACTGCAACGAATTAAATGAATTATTAAACCGATTGCATGTATGTACACATATCTGGACCACTGATCAATTTCCTATTTCTCCAAAATAGTTCAGGTGTTTTATCTTGAATTGGATCAAAAAACAAGTGTATGTGCTTATGTATGAATCATCTGTGAGGTACCCTATAATCTCTAATTTAGTCGTCATTTTTCGAACATTTCTATTTCCTGACGCCTAGATTACGGTCTACGCCTATTCAAGCGTATGATGTTTATTGAGGCTAAGCGTAAATGAGAAAACTTTGTTTCGACAATGAGCTGTTCACTGTAAAAAGTGTTAAATTCTTCTTCAATGCTCAGTTCATCTGTCGAAAACAACTAATTCCTTGATT